GGCTCTCTGGAGGCTGGAAACGGCCGGTTGGTGTGTTGGGCTGTTTTTCACCCTCCAGAGGCTTTATGGAAGACTCCTGAAGCCTCCAGAGGGCAAAAAATAGCCCAAAATGAAACCCGAAATCAGCTGGTCAGCACGCGCATGCACGCTGGAGCTGACAGGACAACGCTACACATGCCTTAAGAAATGGCTCCACGTGCCACCTGTGGCACACATGCCATAGGTTCGCCAACACGGTTATAGGCATTTCTAATTCATTCTAGTACTTGCGTTGTGTTTTTGGTTTTTTTGTCCCTGTCCTTCTTGGATAGAAGCATATCCCCCCCCCCCACATATTTATTTGGGAGGGTAGGCCTTTCACAAGACTTTTCTCTCTCTCTCTCTCTCACTGCTTTTTTAGAAGCAGTCATCTTAAAATTCAGGGTTGCCTTTTCTTTCATGGATATATTTCACTATTGATGCCTTTCTGATGTCCTCAGTGCCAATCTCCTCAGGGGCTATGACTGTTGCTAGGACACCTCCCTCCTTCCCTCCCCTTCCCAGAACTGTGTGATTGACACACAAGCACCGCTTCCACTTTTCTGTAATCCTTGTCAGACCATCTTGGTACCTGAACAATGAGGGACGAGGGTTTGCATCTGTTGCTGCCCCCCCCCTCCTCAGGTGATATGTACTCAGAACACAACAGAGGTGGGTTTCTGCCAGTTCAGTCTGGATCGGGCAAACCAGTAGTGGTGGTGGTGGGAGGCTCCACCCACCCGCCTGGACTCTTCTGCACAAGTGCAGAAACGTCACGTGCACACATGTGCACCAGTGGTAGGTTCCGGATCCCTTTGCAACCAGTATGCTCAGCGGAGCATCGGGCAGGCACCCTGCTCTCTGTGCACATGCGCAGAAGCGCCGAAGAGCTCAAATACAGGTAAGGAGCTCGGGTGGGTAGGTGGGCCCTCTGGAGCACCATACCGGAATGGTACCTAGTGCTCCAGGCAGGCACCAGTACGCCCTTACCGGGTCGTACCGCCTGCAACCCACCACTGATACGCGCTCGAGCAAACTGGTAGTAAAATAAAATGGAAACCCACCACTGGAACGCAATCTCTAAATGGCATCTTATGGAAAGTCTGGAAAACACCATGCTTAGTCGGTTCTATTCCAACTTTCATTTCAAAGTGTACATTGCTTCCTGTTTACAACAGGCACCTCCAGAAATCCCTGTTCCATCAGATAAATCGAGGGTTATCTCTACATTCTGTCTCCCAGGGTATCCTATAGTCTGGAGACATTACATTCTTAAATGCCTGCTAAATCCTCAGAAGGAAATGATAAATCTTCAGGGTAGCTTTAGCTGTCAGCCAAAATGAACCTTTCATTTCCTCAGCTTATTTTTTTTTCCCCTTCAAGGAGATTTGCTTGCTAGTTGCAGATGTAGCAGTGATATAATTGAACAAAGGCAACTAGGTGACCTTGTAGCAGCCATTCTGTCTCAGCTTTAGGCAAAAGGGAATGGCAAACCACTTTTGAAAAATCTTGGCAAGAAAAAAAAAACTGCAGGGACTTGTCCAATCAGTCACGAGGAGCCAACATTGAGTTGAAGGCGCCCCTCCCTCCAAAAACATATTTAATAATCTCCTTCTTAGAAGCTTGTTTGCTTATTTATTTATTTATATATGTATTGTTTATATCCCACCTTTGTTATCTTTACAACAACTCAAGGTAGCAAACATACATAATGCTCCTCTTTTCTTCACAACAACAAAGCTGTGAGGTGAGAGAGTGTGACTGGCCCGAGCCGACTTTCCTGCCTAAGACGGAACTAGAATTCACAGGCCCCCGGTTTCTAGCTTGGTGTTTTAACCACTAAATCAAACTGACTCTCAAATGTGTTGCCAGTCATACTGAGGAAAAGAATAAAAGGGAATTTTATAGAACTAAGATCTATTCTATATTATTGGGTGTCACAAATGGAAGTAGACCAAGTTTGACCCTCTCAGAGTGGGAGAGAGATGTTCATATTTGATTCTGTGTTAATGATGGCACCCCTATTGGTTCAATTGCTGTTTTGCTGCAGAGATACCATGACAATGAAATCATTTATATTGTCAGTTCCTCCCCCACGCACACACACCATTCTTTAACATGCGTCTATTCCAGGAATAATTTTTGAACAGTGCTAAAATTCTTTCTTCTACATTTCAACCAGAATATAAACAAAATAACTGGTGCTACAACAGACTTTCCAAGCTCTTTTAAAAATCAACTCAAACTGAGTAACTTTTTTAGGAAATTCACCCTAGTAGACCCTGCCGCTACTGGACATGAGATCCAGATATAAACGCAATCTTAATCAGAGACTGATTCACTAATGACAGTCAAAAGATTTGAGGTACAGGTAACCCTCAACTTACAACCACAATGGAGCTCAACATTTCTACTGCTAAGTGAGGTAGTTGTTAAGTGATTTTTGCCCCAACAACCTTTCTTGCCATCTAGGATTTATTCACCAAACCGTAGTTGTTAAGTGAATCACTGCATTTTTTAGTAACATGGTTGTTAAGTGAATCTGGCTTCCTCATTGACCTTTGCTGGTCAGAAGGTTGCAAAAGCTGACCACATGACCCTAGGACCAGGGGTGGACTGCTGGGGGTTTGCACAGGTTCGGGAGATCCTAGCGAACATTCTGCGTGGTTCAGCAAACCCCCAAATCCCACTCCTGGCTGGCCATGCCCACCCCTTCCCTCCCACCCCACCCCTCTCAGGAGTCTCCACGCAACCTGTCCATCATGCCAGGTAAGTGCAGGGCCTGAGCAAAGGCTCGGGGAGGGGGAAAAATGGGCTACTGGAGTTTCCAGAAGTCTGGAAACGAGCTTGTTTCTGGCCTCCGCAGCCTAGGGGAAGTAGTTTTCTCCCTCCCAGAGGCTCAAGGAAAGTGCCATAGTGCAGGATGCCAACTAGGCCATGCCCACCTAGCAACGAGGCAGCGAACCCATTGCTGCAATTTTTGAAGCCCAATCCTGCCCGGGACATTACAGCTGTCATAAATATGAATCAGTTGCCAAGCGTCTGAATTTTGATCACATGTCCATGAGGATGCTGCAACGATCATGTGAAAAATGGTCATAAGTCTTTTTTTTTTCAGTGCCACTGTAAATTTGAACGATCACTAAATGAACTGTTATAAGTTGAGGACTACCTGTATTCCCACCTAAGAAATATCTCCCTAATCTGAATAACAATATAAACTAAGAATTTAATTTTCATTGTGTGTTCACATTATAGCTGTGCTTGGTGCTATAGACTTCTGAATTGCTCCCAAAGTCAGATATTGAGAATATGACTATGACTATACCTAGACTCTTAAATGTCATAAATCTAAAAAACTTCAGCATCAACTCCAAAGCTAGCTCTGACTAAAAATTCGGTCAGGCAGTAAGAAATGACGTGAAAGTATTAATCCCTTAGTTTATCCTTGATCTATCCTTATAGACTCTAACTCTGATTGTGGCACCAAGTTCAACAAATACCATCCCTGACTTCCACCTCATATTAACAAGCAGGCCTAATCAATGGTGGTATTTGAAAAATTTTGCTACCAGTTCAGTGGGCGTGGCTA